GGCCCCTGGAATCCACCCTTAGCTACTATATCTGTGCTATCTATAACATGGCCACAGGACCCACAGGACTCCCGGCACCCCTACTGGAGATAGTTCCTTTCTGTCCTGTTTCCCCCAAGCATGGCTTCCCCTATTTCCTTGGGGACCAGTCTAATTAAAACTCAAGAACCTGGAAGCCATCTTATTAATATTCATCAGGGGAATTCTAATGACAGTGGATGGGGAAGTGAGAACCAAGAAGCTAGTCCCAGAAGTTGGTTCATGTCAAAAATATGTTCTAAAATTCAGAACTGGATTTCCTGGCTGGAGACTCTCGATCAGGGGATGCCCTAGATGAAGGTCAGGAGCCTTCATGGGGGCAGACATGCCCATGTGCTGCTGGAAGGGGCGTATGACAGTGATGCCTGTTACCTCTTAGAGGTCTGAGAAAGCAGGAGAGTTAGACTGGGGATTCCAGAAGGAAGGGCTCTGTTGGAAGATGTGGAATGTCCTACAAATGCATGACTCCTGCAGCAGCTATAACAAAAAATAACATCAGAAAACTTGCTGGAATCCAGGTGCTGAGTTCAGGTCTATCCCCACCTCGGGGGTGGGCTTTAAGGGCTGATTAATGTGCTCACTGTGCAGGGAGACCTAGGGGAGTTGGAATGCACAGCCACAAACACCAACAGTGAGGAAAGTAACCAGAGGAGCCCACCTCAGGTGGGACCTTCACTGTCGAAGGGTCGATAAAAGGCACCCAGCCTTACTGGGAAATGTGAATGCTCCTGAGGCAGAGGCTGGCATATTTCACCACCTTTCTTGGGTGAGAAGGGAAAGCCCTGTGCCTTAAGAAGCCACTCTGCTATAGCTGTCATCAGTCTCCCAAGCTCTCTTGTCATTATTCACACTGCACAGCTGGCTCCTGTAGCCAGGAAAGTGGGTGATCCATTAGAGCCACTTTGGCAAACTTCTTCAGGAGGACAAATTGAGACGGAGAGTCGGCTGTCTCCTGCTGGGCTCTGTCAAATCCCTGATTCTTTGTCATACTGTCCAGCCATCTCCTCAGTCCCCAAACCTCATGCCCATGAAAGATCAGGGGTGAAAGGCTACACACAGCACCATAGCAATGTCTGTGGATGTTGGGCCTCTCCATGCTGGGTGAGTCTGTTGAACCTGTGACTTTGTTTTTTTGTTTTTTGTTGTTTTTTGTTTTTTTTAAGACAGCTACCTTAAGAACTTTCAGAGCTGCCCCCTCAAAAATCAGTAGCCACTGGTGCCTCTGAAACTTCCATCTGGGACTGGGGAGAAAGCTTGGTTTAATCAAGTGCTTGCCATGCAAGTGTGGGGATTGGTGTGTTTGATCCTATCACCTATGGAAAGAAATCATGTTGACGTATACTTAGAATTTCGGTTTCTGGAGAGGTGGGGACAAATGGATCCCTGGGGTTCCCTGATCATCCAGTCTAGCCTAATTGGTGATCTCCAGGCCAGCACTAGAGCCTGTCCACACAAGTTTGCCCTCTGCCTTGTGCATACATGCGCACGAACACACAAGACAATGCACCTGCAAAATTTAACTTTAGTAGGTTAAATATTTAGCTTGCCAGTCACACTAGCCGCATTTCTCTTAATCATAGATGAGCTATTATCTGACATATTGGGCAACACAGACACAGAACATTTCCATTGTCATCAGACCGAGGCTTGGTTCTTGGCCACCTCCTGTTGATGCAGAAATGAGTTTTCCTGGAAGGCAACCATGCCCATTCTCTTATGTGTTTCTGTGCTTTCCCACTCTGCCAGCAGAGTTCAGTGGAGCGATAAAACCATCTGGCCCACAATGTCTAAAATAGTCACTATCTAGACTAGGCAGTTTCCCAGCCCTATCTTACATGTTTTTCTGAAAGTATGCACAGCTTTGTGCGTACAAATGTTACAGTTTCATGGAATAAGTGAGTGCCACTGTCCATGTGGCAAAGCACAGGTTACAAATGTCTTTACTGCTTCTTTGTAGAATCTTCAGACACCAACCTTGGATGATAGGAATTTCCCCAGAGCAGAGGATCACACAGCATTCTTGGTAGTCTTTGAGTGTCACCAACAGATCCATTTCCACTTAAGAGTAAGGCCAGTGTATCTACTTCATATAAGCCAGAGCCTGGGGCCCTCCACCCCGGCTTCCCAGCTTTTACCTCTAAGGGACTGGCTGTTGCTTTAGGTTTTGTGACAGGGTTTCTTCTGTGTAGCCCTGGCTGTCCTAGAACTAGCTCTGTAGACCAGGCTGGCCTGGAAATCAGAGATTCACCTGCCTCTGTCTCCCAAGTGCTGGGATTAAAGGCTATCACCACCACCCTGTAAGAGACTCTTGATAAATAAACACAGACAGTATCCATAAGGCATGTGTTAAGAATTTGTTGGATTTAATATTTTCTTTGACCAATGAATCTATTTCCTCTATCGTATCTTCGGCACCCGAGATTCTCTCTTCCACCACTTGTACTCTGTTGTTTATGCTTTCATCTGTAGTTCCTGATTGTTTGCCCAGATTTTCCATTTCTGGAGTTCCCTCCATCTATGTTTACATTATTGCCTCTATTTCAGTTTTCAAGTCTTGAACCATTTCCTTCACCTGTTTGATTGGTTTTTCTTGGTTTTCTTTAAGGGATTTGTTGACCTCTTTCCTCCATTTCTTTAAGGGAAATTTTCATTTCCTCTTTAAGGGCCTCAATCAGCTTCATAAAGTTATTTTCAATGTCTTTTTCTTCTGCTTCATCTGTTGAAGTCTTGTTGCTTGTAGAAACACTAGTTCCGGTGGTGCTGTATTGCCCTTTGTGTTGAGTGTATTCTTACCTTACCTTGTTTTCTACCCATCTCTTCCTCCAAGTACACGTTGAGCCTGTGCTTCCAACTGGTGTAGTTGGAGGCTGTGGCTGTGTTGACCTTTCAAGTGCAGGTAGGGCTGAGCCTCTGGTGATCGCTCCTCCAGGTGTGTAGATGGGCCCAAGGCCCAGATGATCTCTTCTCCAGGTGCAGGCAGGGCCGAGGCTGAGGCTTGGGTGGTCTGATAGTTTCTGGTGGCTGCTGCTGTCCCCACAGCCTGCCACGGTGCTGACACTGTCTCCAGAGGCACTTCTTAAGATAGTTTCTGGAAGCCACTGCTGCCAGTGCTTCAGGGCCTCTTGCTCGGACTGTGATGCTCTCTCTCTCTCTCTCTCTCTCTCTCTCTCTCTCTCTCTCCCCCACTTCCAAGCCTCTTGCTCTGACATTCTCTCCTGGCTTCCAGGCCAACAGCATCTCATAAAAGGAAACATTTAATCGAGGTGGCTGTTGCATGAAAAATAAAAGACCCAGAGACTGATATTGGGGTTCAAGCTTCAAGCTGAAGATCAGAGAAACAAAGCAGCCAAGCCAGTAGATCTTACCTCTGCCAAGCTGAAATGGCAAAAGGCTCTGAATTTCCATCTCCTCCTCATTATTCCTTTCAACACCCAGCCATATCCCCCTGTCTCCACCTTCCTAGTGCTGGGAAAGGTGTGTATCACCACTACCTGATTTCTAACTTGAGGCTGGCTTTGCTTTCCTAATCCTCAGACATGCTTTAATAGATCATAAATAATATATCACCACCGGTGGCAGCTTATAGTTCAAAATTTTAGTCCATTATTGTGACGGGAAACATGGCTGCATGCAGGCAAACATGGTGATGGAGAGGTAGCTGAGAGTTCTACGTCTGGATTGGCAAGCAGCCAGAAGAAGATGACACTGAGCCTGGCTTGAGCTTCTGAAACTTCAATGTCCACCCCCACCCAGTGACCGCCCCCAGACACTTTAATACTCTACTATGTAGTACCAAAGAAAATCGGACAGTAACCACATCAGCATAAATTCAAGAAGCTAGAAAGCAAACCGAGAAGGGTAGCTTCCATGCCATCCTGGTAACTTCAGATCCTGACCTGGGACTAGAAGCAGTCCCCACTGACAATGCAGATTTCCCCAGGGCTCAGGAGTTGCCTGTGATTTCAGGAACCTCTGGAAATGGGCACTGAAGTGGGGCTGAGGCCAGAGGCTTGGCTGAACGGCTGTTAGGAAAAATCTGGCCTTCTGAGCTTTCCTATTACAGGGGAGGTAGTATGGTATCCAGGGTCTGCATGTCTCAACGGACTGAACAAGACACAGAAAAGCAGTAGCAGAAGTATAGATGTATTAAAGATGAAAGTGAACACAAAACGGTACACTCTACCCTGGCTCAAAAGCCACCACCACCATCCAGTGTGCCCAGGTTATATTAATTATAGTGAAAAAGGGAAGGGTTCCCTGAAGGGATGGATCTTTGACTTATATGACTGGCATCTTGACTTATATGACTGGCATCTCTCTAAGTTATATGGCATTATGTTTACTGTGCATGGACCATCGCATGATCCTCTGTTATAACCATGTGTGTGAGATGTAATCCATATGCATTAGTCCTTTAATAGAAGGGTTTATACAATCAAAGGAAGGTCCTTTTTGATTGCTAGGTCCTGGAGATAACCTTCCTGTGACTCACAGTTTGACCCTACCTTTGGGCCTCCTTCCCACCTTCTATACAGCATGGAGTCTATACTCTTTTACCAGTAGAAAAGACTGGAGATCCACTCTATTAAGTGCTTAAGTAAGTACATGGCATGTGGGAGACCAGCAGGCACCCTATGCAGAAGTCAGGCCGTGAAGAGTTCACACATTGACTGCTAAGACCTATCCTCGGCTTGCTCCCAAATGCCCATAGCCACCACCCCAACTCCCTTGCAGAGGTAGAGGGTTGAGTGCTGAAAAATTCCAGCTCTGGAATCACTTGGTTATTTCTCCCAGCAACCAGCCCTCATACTGAGACCGTCCACAAAAGAAGGCAGAGACAAGATATATACCTCTTACATCATAGACATTTACCCACCTATGTGTGATCTTGACCTTGAGCCGATTTCTCTAGGAGCTGAAGAAAGCCAGTGAGAACCTGAGCTGTGAAACGACAGGCTGTGGTGGTACTCACCTGAGTATCACATACCCTGAAGTGGGAACAATAGAGAGATTAGCATGGGCCCTGAGAAAGGATGGCACACAAATCAGTGAAGTGGTCCAGAGTTTTAGACAAAAGGACTAGGGTTCAAGATCAGCCTTGGTTATACAGCCATACCTCTGTGAGCCAGTATGAAATAGAATGAACGGAGGTTGGGCCCAAAAGGACCTGGGAGTGAACATTAACCTCTGACGTGGAGATGGAGCTCTCATGAATAACATGGTGCTCCCCTCCTCCAAACCATCCTGCTAGACCCCTCAAGCACACGTTGGCAGGCCCAGTTCAGAGAGTGGTTAAGGAGCCAGGCAGCCTCCCTGGCTGGTGGCAGGAGCCTGTCAGATTTTACTTTATGTGTCATAGAATCTTTTTTTTCTTACAGAGATATAAAATTTCTAATTTGGCTTTTTTTCTTTACACATTCATTTGGCATACACGCTAAGCACATGCTTTTTAAAAACTAGTTATGGTTCAGTTTTGATTTTCTTCAAAATGATCAGCACCTCACTCTATGAATAATTCATTATGCAAACCAAGACCCCGTTTGAGCTTAGAGAAAGGGAGGAGGCAGGGCAGACATGTGCTTTGTGTGTTGGCACCTGCAAGAATCCTGTCGTTAGACCTGCTTACTTCCAGGGCACGGCCACAGCCAAAAGGCTCTGAATGTCACCCCAGAGTGTTTGGATTGTACAAAACTGCTGCTTCTGTTTACTCAAAAGCATTGGTTTAGTTAGCTTCAAACCCCCTAAAGTTCAAAATTAGGACCTTGTTAATTAAGGACATATGTTCATCTGGGTTTATGTTGCTACAGAAACTAGTTCCTATGTTGCTAAAGAAACAATGTTTCTGAAACCAGGATGCATGTCGAGGTCCCTCTGGGTGAAGGTAAATGCTAGTGGTAACTACTCCCCTCTTCATTGCTCCACTTGAGGCACTGTCTGTGCTTAATGGGGTTGGGGAGTGTTCTGTGGGTGTTTCTGTGTGTGGGGTAGGTGTTTCGCTCTCTCGCTCTGTGTGTGTGTGTGTGTGTGTGTGTGTGTGTGTGTGTGTGTGTGTGGGCATGCATGGAGAGTAGAAGGCAACATCTAGTGTCTTCCTCTCCAATCTATGAAACAAGATTCTTCACTGAACCTGGAGCTAGCTGATTGGCTAGGCTGGCTGGCCAGCAAGCTCTGGAGATCTTCATGACTCTATCTTCCTAACATTGGGATTACAAGCGTGCTCCAACACACTAGGATTCTATGTAGACGATGGGATCCAAACTCAGGTCCTCAGGCTTACACAGCAGGCAGTTACAGACTGAACCATCTCCACTGCCAAATTCTTGTGTCTAAATTCTTCACAAAGACCCATGACTCAGCACAAAGTGTCTGCTGAGGGGCTGCAAGCTGAGTGGCAAGATGGGAGTGTGAGGTTTTGGAACAAATGTTCAAAGAAAGAATGGTTTCCACTCAGTACTTCAGAGGAACCGCCAAGTTCCATGTGACACCAGAGAAAAGACAGTGCTGTCAAAACAGCTGAGCAGGGGCTATGTTTTGTTCCCAAGATGCTTGAGAGAGGATTGGCAGTTACAGGCCATGTGCTGTAATGGGAGGGGAGGTGATAAAAATGTCTAGACAAGCCAAAAGGCACTCTCATAAATGGAGAATAATCATTGTAAGAAAGAATTGTGTCAGATTTAATCAGCAGGAATTTTTTTCCTTGTCTTGCTGTTACACAAAACAATAGTGCTGCGTATATTTGATGGAACACGGTTGCTTAAAACAGAGAACTAGAATATCCCTAAAAAATTATTCCACCTACCAGCTGACTGTGAGATGAGGAAACAGAATTCAGTGACAGGAGTTCAGAGGAAGCACATGTTCAGATAAGTCAGCCACGACTCAACTCCTCCTCAGACGGTCCGGCTTGCACAGCCAAGGTGTCATTGAGCCCTAGAAAGAGACCTCTCTCTGTTAAGTAGCAAGTCTCACAGGTGGGCCCAGAACCCCAAATCCTCACTCAAGCATGGGACGTTGATTTAATGCCAATGTGAAGCACAATGCCTTTCTTCAACTCCTGGGGGACAATTTGGGCCTCAGGGAAGAAGAAAAGGGGTGAGTGGGGGAGAGCAGGAATAAATGGGGGGGGAGGAGAGAAGGGGTGAAGTGGTTTCTGATGGAACAGTTGTTCATTGAGCTTGTCGCTTTTACTGCCCTTGACCTCTGCTCTGGTGCTCCCCACCCTCACCTGTGTTCCCTTGCGTCCCCACTCCAGCCTCCCTTGCTTCTATCCACCCCTGTCCTCCTTCTGAACCCTGTGGTGGCAGATTTATTGAGGCAGAAGGGAGTGGAGGCATGTAGGAAGAAAAGCACACCACACGTGGAGGACCTTTGAAACCCACTCTAGGAGCTAACTAGAACATTCCACTCCTCAAATGTGCTATGCTCTAGATCAGGCGCTGTCCCCGGCAGCTTTACTGAAACACAGGCAGCCTCATTTGTTCACCTCACGCGGCTGTCTTGGCTGCATGATGCAGCAGCTCAACTGAGTGACTGCAGCGAGCCCAGGTGATGTTCAGTGCCCGGTCCTTCACAGAAGCCTGTTGCCTTCCTGGTTGGCGTGCACTCCTCTCAATCCAGTACTTGCCAGAACCTTCAGTTAGTTCAGGGCTCTGAGAGGTTGCCACAGTGGGTCACTTTATTTCTCCTTGATTTGAAAACTCTTTTCCAACGAAACATCTGATAATTCTTCAGAGTGGACACATGGTGGGGAACTGGCTCCTTAATGGTATCTGGGACACCCTGTTATGAGCAAAGTGATGTCATCCAGAACACACTCATCCAAGCAGATCAAAAAGGGTGTATGAGTTTCTGTGGGCATAAGGTCTGTGGGGAACTGGGATGCTGCAGGAGGGAAACTCAGAGGGAGGTTTCCAACTCATTTTCTCAATATTGACGTATAGATCATGCTAATATAACTTATTGTCCAAACAATCCGTCTGTCAAGCAACAATTACATTTTAAAACATAGATACTAAATACTAAAATCCTCTGGAAATCAAATATACCCGTTTCATATGCCCCGGCCATTCTACCTCTGGGTGTTTACATATGAAAGCATATGTCCACACAGATTTGTAACCAAATGCTCATAGTGGCCTTCCGCATACCAGCCCTACCTTGTCCACAGCAACCTCATTGGAAGCTGAAAACACCACAAATGTGTTTATCCATCAGATGAGGGTTAGACAAATGTCCATGCCATAGAATACTACTCCACAGGAACAAAGGAACAAGCCACCGATGCGCACAGCAAACAGATAAAGTTCACAGGTACTCTAGAGAATAAAAGCCAACCCCAGAAGACCAGAACTACACTTCCATGGGAAATCTGCCACAGGGCAGTCTGTAGTGAAGTCAGATTTGCTTGAGTGGAGGAGGACAGTTCAGCCAGCTATACTGATGTACCTGAAGGTTTCACACTTGAATATCTGGCAGTTCCTTCCAGGAAAGTGCTCACTGGACTCTCCTGCCACTTCTATGTGATCTCTCCTCTCAGACTCAATGCATGTCTTCGCTCATAGCCGAGCCCTGGAACTCAGACTCACTCCTGCCATAGTCACAGATACAAGGGGAAGGAACACAGACCCTGTCGATGAGTCTATATCACATTGTAAGAAGAATCAGAGGGATGAGATGATGCAGGCATGTTTGGGAAATATAACCTAGTATTATATTATGGCACTTAACACAGTACCTGGGACAGAGCAGAACCAAACAAAAGATCCTCACCTGACGTCTCTACCACCAGCACTCTCATGCCATGGCTTCTATGGTCAGGGTTCTCCCTGTTGCCAGTAAATCAGAGACAGCTGATGCCACCTATGCCAAATGATTTTTCATGGGTGAGTGAGAGCCTTAGCTACTTTCAGAAAACAGTGTAATGAAAACCTTGCTGGCCAAAAGAGGTGTTTTTTGTTTGTTTGAGCACAATACACAATGGGTAACTTTACCAGGGAAGATACAAAGAACCAGACAGGACACTAGATCAAGAAAAAACTGAACCCAAATCCAACCTGGTGAAATGAGTTTACTGGGGTTAACTAAAGAACAGGCAGCTCGGAAAGACACACTGTTAAAGGTTCTCAACCTCTAGTCAGCCTTCAATCTCCTGCACACTTGAGCATCCTCAAGACCTGTCAGCTGGGGCAAGAGAAGAGTAATGACTGAAATCCCGGGTGAGCATCTCATGGCCCTCCTTTCCCAAGAGAACATTGGCAGTCTCGATGCCATTACCATAGATTAGTAATTAGCCTTATTGTTCTGCTGGTTTCATTACTACAAATCTGAGCTAAAGCCCTCTTCTAAGGACCAGCTTCATTGTGGGTGGTAGTCATGTCATGCTCCTTTCTCCAACTCTTACGTTCTTTTTTTTCTTCTGTTTTATCTCTTGTGTATGGCATGTGTGGGGGTGAAAAGAACAGAGGAGGATATTGGGTGTCCTTCCCTGTTGCTCTCTGCTTCATTCCTTTGAGATGGGTCTCTCACTAAACCTGGAACTCATCTTTATACACCTAGGCTGGCTAGCCAGCAAGCCCAGGAGTCTTCCCATTTCTATCCTGATAGTGCTGGAGTTCTAGGTGCCTGTGGCCAGGCCCGGCTTCCTCATGGGAACTGGAGATAAATCTCAGGCCCTCATCCTTGCACAGCAAATGCTCTTACCCACTGAGCCATAGCCCCAGCCCTCTTACATTCTTTCTCATCTTTTCCACAGTGTTCCCTGAATCTTGAAGAGGATGATTTTATATGTGTTCCCCCAGCCTGAGCATTTGACTGATTTGCCATAGTAATATTTGCATCCACAGCAACAGACATTTATCCTTAGTAGTTGGAATAATTATGAGTCTCACAGCTTTTGTCTACTATAAAATAGAGTTTTCTTTGACTGTGGCCTACAGCAGCACTAACCTACATGTATAAACACAAATGTTTAGGAGGCAATTTGACAAGTATATACAACCACTTAACCAAAACAGAAAAAAAGCATTACTTTCTCCACTAAGATCTGTGATTTTTCATAGACATAAGTTT